TACACAATGCAGAGGCATACGAAGGCACGGCCAAATGGATTCACAGCAAACCAATTTACCTCGGCCCGGAAGGTGGATAATCCCTTAAAAATTAACATGCTTATTCCACCGCTTCTTCTGGGTTTTCTCTCAATATCACATAGGAATTCTGGCGTTATAAACATTTACGATTTTTCTTTTCTTATTCCATTACTGTAATTGGATGACAGGGATATGGTTAGGATTACGTGCGCAGTTCTGAAAGTGTTACGAAGTGTTAAAGACGTTATTTTGGGAGCAAAGTGTCTGTCTTTCTTTAGACTTTTATTCCTGAATATACTAACATGGAACCTAATGTAACGGTCTAAAATATTAATAGTTTTCATAGAAATTAATTACATTTAATACCCTTCGAGTTTCTTAAAACATTCGAAAGGTCGTTTTCTTCTAAGTCTAAATGTAAATCTATCAAAACTTCCCTTCAAAACAGAATCCTCTTCCGTTCCGACCTTAACAGCATTAAAAAACGACGTCTCATTATACACACGTCCGCAGAACAATATAACGCATTTAAAACCTGTCCAGAAGTAAAATTAAAAATAAATAGCACAAGAAAAAACCGCTGAGAACATCGTTAAGTTGAATGTCATAAATCATGGCAATCCTGTTATGCTTTTAAGAGGTTTTTTGTGTATTTTTTGTGCAAAATATAGTCACATTATTACAAGATGATTTGGCCGACATTCACGAACAATGTTGATGGACAAAGATACTGCCCCGTCATACAGTCTAATGGGAAAAAATATAAAACAAGTGCAGACTCCAAGCTCCGAAGGTCAATATATTGCTTGTCTAATAAGTTTGAATTTTGGCCGCGGATGAGAAGAGCACTAGGTAATAGAATAGTAATTTATTGTCAGTGGATTTACTTAAAATAATTGTCACTAGTAATTAGGTAGGTACTGATTGAGAATTGAATTATCTTGTAGAAAAGTTAAAACAAAAATGCAACTTATGCATAATAAAAAACACTACAAAGTCAACTATTTAAAGAAACTTAACAAAAGCAATTTTGTTTTTGGCAATAACGTAATGTAAAAGTACTAATATTATAAATCTGAAGAGTTTTGTGTGCATGAACGCGCTAACCTCCGGAACTTGTTTGATTGTTTTTTTTTTGTGTTCGATAGTCCATTTATAAGGAGGCTGTAAAATATCACGCATCTACCAATAGAAGCCGCTGATGAGCAGCAGACGAAATCATATACAGGGCTAGTTAGTTGCCTACCTACACTTAAAAATGGAAATTCTAATGTTGACCTTTCCAATCATTCTGGTAGACACTGAATCTATATTCGATATCAGATATTTTATTCTTTTTAAAAATGGAATACAAACTTTTTAATTATATATAAGTAGTTTTATTGTTAGTTAGTGACTGAGCTATCGATTTCTTTTAGTACTAGTGTTACTAGCCGTAAATAGCATACCGTGTGTATAATTTATATTATTACTGACCCAGCCACGCGTTGCTGTGGCTAAGGTAAATAATATTGTGACTATAAATTGAGAAGTATTTTTTATTTATTTTATTTTTTTTATTCTTAAAAAATAAGTAATAGTAAGCTATGCTATCTTTCAAGTTGGATCAAAATGCACACGGAATGCAAATCAAATTTAAAATCGGTTTAGTAGTTTAGGAGTCCATCGCGGACAAACACGTGACACGAAATTTTTATACAATATAAAAATTTTACTTATATGGAAGAAATCTAGAAGTAATGAATATAAATTAATTACAGTCACTACTAATGAGAGGGCGTGTACCTGTAAGTTATCAAACAAAATCAGTTAGGAAATTCAAGTGTAACAAGAATGAGGCCTCTCGAAAACTAACCTAAATAAAATGATACTTATTATACATATATTAACTTAAATACGGGTACAAGTACTTACGATAAATAATTTTGATTATTTTTTTTATTTTTGAATAGAAATATTTTTTTTTCAATAAGTGTTTCATTTCAATAAAAAAAATACATAAACTGCTCATGAATAACAAATTGCATATTTTTTTATGCCCCATTCTTTTTTTGAATTTGGATTATGTGTACTGTGTTCTGTTCTGTCCGATTTTGACATTACACGTGACATAAGGAACAAAATGGCCGCTTCATAATGAAAAGTGCGGTACTTATTCAATGACCAACATCCGTGGTGATTATCTAAATTTAGATCTGTGACAGTTTTATTTGGCTCGCCCGCATCTCTGCTGTCAATGTAACAGTATACATATGCATGTACTTATCTATCTAATTATATTGTTAGATGCAGGTATTTCTATCATTAATAAAATAAAATAAGGTATTTAGCATACCAAGCTATAGCAAATATATATTGGAACCGTTTCAGTGTTTTTTTTTTAATGAAAAATGATTTTCTCCTTTGTCGATCAATTTCACATATAAGTACACATGTTACTATGTTACACAGCCCCGGAACAACATTTGTGAATCACATAAAGAGAATCCTTTGTTTTAACTGTAAAGCGACAGTTTGCATAACACAGAAATAGTATTTGTAGTCTGGCTATTCTTAATTTCTTACATATTGCTTCTAATAAGATACAATATTTTTACAAAAATAAAACTATTATACCAGTGTTATACTAAATACTAACATCTCTTTTTAACGTTTTTGTAAATATTGTAAGGTACCATGTTTAACGGATCATTCACATAATCGTTTCACGAGTAACTCGACCAGTTTCAATTCATTCAGGGGCCCATATTCATGAGTAATAAATATTGCGCGATACGCGGAACGGCGAACAACACGAAGCTATAATACAAAAATATTGAAGTTCCTAACCTAAAACATCGGCCTTGTTTAAGATCAAAGTGTAGTATATCATCCAAATATTCCTTCGTAACTATTTTAACGTTGTAGTATTAAGTGTGTAAAGTGTTAACAGTAATGTAACATTAAAATTATCATAAGGACGTGATAATTGGTCAGTTTGGTCCGTTCAAATACACAAATGTGTTTACTTAACGTCAAACCGATTTTGAAGTCGATACTGTCAAGAGCATACTCGAACTCGATTCGATTGAATATACCTATATATGAATATACATACTTCACTTACACAACTATTGAACAAATGTCCCTGGTTGGGGATCTCGGGTTCGGGATAGGCCAAAGTATTATTTGGTGTGTTGGAGTCTGGAATTGTATGTGTGTATCAGGTTAGGCTCGATGGTCTATCGGTTACGGTAATTGACTAAATGTTACCAATCTTTTCTTATTTTTGGGAGGGGAAAATCATCAAATAACTTCTTCCACCCAGGGCTGACGGGAGGGAGTGTCAGACTCTTACTGACTAAAAACCCCCTGTTCCTTCTCCTGCTCCGGGCCGAGGTCACGGTGCCTCATTGCGCTTATCCCGCAACCCCGGCTGAAATGTTACCAATCTTGGCATGTCTTTTTATTTTGACGTGAATTTTTCATGTTGGTTTTTAATGTAACCATTTGTCGACTCAGAAGCGAAGCAATGGTTGCTGCCTCTGTACTAAATTAACCTTTAATTTTGTATACGTACCTGTATATAAAATAACTGCAGATTTTACGTAGAGTATGGATAAACCGAAACCTCAGTACATTGGTGCACATCCTCACATCACATTATCAGCCTATTTAAGTGCCTACTGCTGTGCAAAGACCCATCCCACACGGAGAAGGTTTGAGAATTAATCACACGCTTGCTCCAGGTGGATTGAAGATTTTAAACTTATAATTAGAAATTAGAAGTCCAGGATTACGATGTTGTCCTTCACCGTATGTCACTGGTGTCTAAATAATCATAGAAAGTACATATATCTAACATTGGTACTTGCCAAGTTTCGAGCCCGCACCTTCATACATGAGAAGCGGGCGCCTAAACGTCCGGCCACCAAGACGTTACATATTTATCTACCTACTTGCTTATTTGAAAAATCATAAATCTCTTTTCTTCAAAGTTAACAAAACATTATCAAACAACCTAACTAACGATATTAAACATACAATTTTAACGACGGACGATAAAATATAGTTTCCGTAGCTTGTTTACTGTCGATCGATTATTATCTAAACTTTTGACATGAATCGAGATAGCGATCGATTAGTATCGATTAATAATAAACATCGAATCGAGTCGCGTGCGCTTCGAATTAAAAATAAGTTCTACTTAACACTCCGTGGTTGATTTAATACTTACTTTTAACATTTTCCGACGTTTGTTATGTGTATTCGTGACTGCAAATGCAGTTTTTTTTGGCCACGAAATAAAAAGTTTATCGTTCCGCAAAATACTGCGAAATCACATCGACTTATTGAAATTATGCCAGTCATGTTAAACGGTGTGTGTATGTGTATTTAGTGTAAGGTTTTAATAAGGCAGTTTTCGTATTTGCGAATGGCTTTATTGATAGAATCACTGCGTTCCTGTGTACCGATATAGGTTTTAAATAAGTAAAAGGTATTTAATCTTTTTACAATTAATTCCGAAGCAATCATTTTTACAGTGTCTAATATCTATAATTTCCGCCCTTACTTAAGACACTACCATAATATCGTCTAGATCTAGGCCAATTGTATTTATTATAAAATGTAGTATCTTGCATAACGACGCTGTTAGTCTTATCGTTGGTAAATAATGGTCACGCTTGTTGATGTCTTAAAAATAATCTTACTTTTGTAACTTAACTAGCGACCCGCATTAACTTTACATGGGAACAATGCTGAATCAAAATTTCTTCTCTAAGAAATTTTGTTTTTTCAATCATACTATCTATTAAAAACCGCATCAAAATCCGTTGCGTAGTTTTAAAGATTTAAGCACACATAGGGATATAGGTACGGAGGAAGCGACTTTTTTTATACTATGTAGTGTTTATTATTCTGACAGAACACATACAATCATTTAAAAATGTACTAGATATTTAAGCAAACATTCTAAGCCCACATTTCTTTTGTTACAGATAGCGTGAATTACAGAAGAAACAAATGAATTGCGCTAAAACTATCGGATTTTCGCCAAGTATTGTCACTTAATTCTAACATGGCGGTAGGGCGTAGAAACGTCAGCATGATGCGGTTGGGACGCTGCGTCGCCTTCCTCGCTGCCGCAGCATTCCTCCTGCCTTTCACCATCCTGCTGATGGTGGCAGACCAGCAGTACAACCTCACCTACAGCTCCAAACGAGTCTTCTACCAAGAGGTTAGTTTTAATTTCCCTATAAGCCTGATACACTCTATTAAAAGACATCCATAATTGTCTGATTCTACATGGAAGTGCAAAAAATCTGCATCAATTATGAGTTACAGGGGACTTTTAAACCTAAAGCCAGTAAGTAAGACTTAAATTTAAGTGACAATGAGCATAGGTCTGCACAATACTAACAAGACTAAAACCTTCACGACACTTTTCTGGAAGCCACGAGGTTTGCATGATGAACTGGTTGACACGGCTGTTGAAATAAGATCTAGATTCCTCTGCAGCTTAACTGTAACAGAATTAAACTTCAATCCAACAATGAAATCAACAGAAAACTGAAATAAAAACTAGGTATTCAATAAATCGTCTGTCGTTCAAAAGAACTCTAAAAGAACTCGAAAATTATTCGAGCTTGTGAATATTTGCTTTCTTCTTTTGTTATTGTGTGTTCAAAGTAACGACTATCAGCTATAACTATCAAGAGTGTGTCAAGAAGAACGTCACATAACACTCCTACGCGAGTGCAAGTTCTCCGTAAGACAAACAACTTCGTTGATCATTGAGTTAAACTTGACTCAACATTGACCCGAAACAAACAATATATATTCAGGTCAAATTTCTTCTTTTGCAGAGTGACTTCTATAAAATTAATGGATCATATTACGCGCCTTTAACTTCAACTAATCCGACCAGAACTAAGGTAATAACATTGTCGTATACACACAGCCGAGCCAACAGTGAAGGCAGATAGTGGGCTGCTCGTTTTCTGGACAGAATCGTATCTTATTCTTAGTTATTTGCAAAATGAGCTCTTCAATGAACGTACTCCTTTTTTGAAGGACAACCCCGCACTATGCGGTTGTCTACGAGTGATGCTAATCGTTTACAATCACGTATATCAAGCTTCGCGATTCCCTCCTATATCGTATAAGGACCAAATCACTTCAAAATTGATGGCAAATACTATTATATTATTACCAAGGATAACATACGATCGTGTCCCGTCAATGAAGCTATCGTTCCCTCTGTTTGTCCGAACTAACACCGCACCCACGCTTTACTTACAGAATGTAATACATGCAAAGGTCTAAAGACGGCTGTGCACGACGTAACAAACCGATTACTCATCCCTGTTGATGGGAGAGCCACTGAGCACCTGTGCCCCGAGTGTACGTTTTGTAGTATTGATTTATAGCTATTCAGTTTCATATTACCTAACCTAAATATCGATATAAAAATATCAAGCGATTAATCGATTGATTTCCACTTTATCGATTAATCAGAAAATGATATCGATACAATCAATTAATCTTTTGAAGATTCTACTTTTGCGATTAGTACATAACTTACTCTCGGAGCGCTGCTGTAGACATGACTGTGACTTTGACAGTTACTATTGAGTTTAATAGTCTCAATAGGTTCTACTTACGTAATAATTAACTATGAAGCAAGTAACTAACTTAGTTATAAGATGTTCTGTTGAATGTTAATTGTATTCGTAACTTGATACTTGCATGGGATGGGTTTGAAGATTTAGGTTAGAAATTAATCGATTAAAACTTGGAAGTAATCGATTATAATTCGTTTTTGGGTCACATGTTTTACCCAGTAACTTAGTATGTGAAGATTCGTTTTACCACGCTTGTTCACAACACGCGAGCTTTAAAATACGATGCTACTTCCCCACTCAATCCATCTTATGTCGATGGTCGTCATAACTTCAAAGCGTTTTTTGTACTTATCGATATGAATACTTGTATCGATGTTAGTGATATCGATTTTATTTCGGATATGTTTTAGCTGTCTGATGTTGGGTAAGTCTTTGTATTAAATGGTTTTATGTAAGTATTTATACTAAGTATTGGAGTATTTATACTAAGAAAGGATGTCTTATGATTGATTCACGAAGTGTTGTAATAGGAAACATGTTTTTTTAAAGAAAATCCGTTTACAAAATATTAATGTTTAAATAAAGGTGATTCGGAGAGCGAAAATGCGTGTAGGTACATCGACATCTGACATATTTTATTGGGTCCCAGATAACCTTATCGTAACAAATTCTTACTTACGTTTACGGAACGTTGCCAATACGTTTATTACAATATCTTGAAGCTTTTTAACCTAGTCTAAGTTAAGTTTAAGAATTTTGCATGTCGCAGTCATTTAGTCAAATTAGCCATTAAATAGGACTCTTAAAGGACCTGTATCCAATCAAATGGCTGCAGCAAACTATCCATTTCGTTGATCGTATTTAACTGTAGGCCTAGGCATCCAACTGAATGGCTATTTTAGCCATACTGCGACATTTGTACCTTGTAAAGTCATTGTGTCTTCAAGTCATGTGTTAATTGCATAACTGTACTCTGTTCGAGTGACCATATGTCTATTGTATTAAGACAATTAAGTCCAGTCACACAACACAGAGCCTTATTAGTATTTAGACATTTTGTTCCTTTATGGAGTTGTCTTCGTTTACCCTACAAACACGACTTCTAATAACACTTCCTACTAATAACCTGGTTAATTTACCAAGCTCCAAGCGGACGCCGGCGTTCACTCATCTAATTTTCTTCTACTGTGTCTCGCGTTACCACGATTGAATTTGATTACTTTTCAAATGTAAAAGTTTGTGAGAATGTATGGATGTATGTTTACTATTCTGTAGTGCAAAACGTCTGGACCGATTTGGTTGAAATTACGTATGTAAATAGATCACAAACTTTTGTCAACATACCACGCGGGCGAAGCCGATTGCGGAAGTTAGTATACGAGGGTGAGATTTTCAAAATCGATAGAACTATTTTGCTAATCTATTGCAAATAAGTTTATCCTCGTCACTGTAGTGTAAAATAGGTGGTGTTATAATAGAATACAACCGTAACAGATTTAGTAGCGATATATTGAATTGTTCGATAGTTTGTATGTGAAAATCTAACAAACATTTTGCAAGCATGAAGTTGAACCATCACCATCGTCAGCCTATAAGTGCCCACTGCTGAGCAAAGGCCTCTTCTCATACGGAGAAGGTTAGAGCATTAATCACCACGCTTGCTCAATGCGGGTTGGCGATTTCAAACTTATAATTAGAAATTATAAGTCCAGGTTTCTTAACGATGCTTACCTTCACCATATGTCAGTGGTGTCTAAATAATCATAGAAAGTACATATAACTTGGAAAAAGTCACATTGGTACTTGCCAGGTTTCGAACCCACACCCTCATGAATGAGAAGCGGGCTCCTTTACCTCCGGGCCACCACGACATGAAGTTGAACACGATTATAAAAAAAAATATAGACTAGTTAAAAAGAGGAAGATAAAGTTACTCGAGAGCCGTGGAAGGCTTTTGTCTCTTTCTAATACTTACAGTAACTTGGCTCAACCAAAACAATAGGTATAATACCTTTCATACATTTACTTAGTTTGTTTTTTGATAGCAATCTAACGATGTCCGAAAATTACCGGGTCAGCGATCATTATCTTTTCTACCACAATAAAATTACCATGTAAGTGGATAATGTATTATTTCCACAAGAACTTACTTAGTATAATCTGTGAATAAAAAAGAATGTGAATGACACTGATGTCTTATTAGTTTACACGTTACATGAAGGAGGTAGTAAGTGCCAATTCCTGTCATTTGAAAATAGGGCCCTAGTTAATATTAATTGCTTAGTACCTAAGTGACGTTTTTCAGCTCAATGATGTGCTTTATATAAAACATTACGTGCAAGTTGTAATTAAAACTACAAGTCAGCAGGCTGCGAACTAAAAAGGTTAGGGACAGAAGGTGGGTTTTAATTTTTTTTATAGAAAATACAATTTAAGTGTGGGATTGCCATGCTTCGGCACGAATGTGTCAACTCGACCGGAGTGATACCACGGCCTCAAAAAACCAGCAAAACAACCACAGCGTTGTGTTTCGCCGTGTGAGTGAAATTTCCGGAGGCCTAATCCTTCCCTTCCCCCAATTCTAAAATATAATATACATCAACGTTTATCCCGTGTTCTTTATTGTGGTCACAGTATATGTGTAATACAGTGCAAAAGGTACTGTATAATGATAAATCTACTCGCTCAATCTAGGAGGTTTCCGGGGGCAAGCGCATTTAGCCACGTTGTTCGGAGTAGGAGAAGGAATAGGGTGGATTTTAGTCAGTAAGAGTCTGAAACCTCTTCTCGCCTTACACAGGTACACAAAAGATTCTCGATTTAAAAGATAGGTGTAGCAAACTGATCGTAAGTGTAGTTTGTCTGAAACCAAACTATAATGCGAAAAAAAGCCTGTTCTTATGCGAAAAAAAGTATTGTGATTTCAAATAGTTTATGTTAATTTTATCGTTTTAAGTATACACAATACTTAAAGCGATAAATACAATATCCTTAAAAAAACAATTAATGATTTTTTTTTAATTATTTTCTTTGAGTATCAACCTAACCTAACCAACTTAATCAAATCTCAGCATTAGTAATAGCGTCAAACCTTTTTTTGTTTATGAACCTTGTCAGTTACACAAATATTTAACAAAAAACAAACGATGATCAATTGAATACACCTACAAGTTTATTTTTTATTCGTTGAGTGATTGCTTTATAACGAATGGTACTGAATATTTAAGTACCAATGTGAAATAACTGTTTAATCGGTGATTTATGACAGAATACTGTCACATACCAGAGACTAAGTTAGGCCACGACCGCACTACGGTTTTAAATTTTAATAGAAACCACACACGATTTTTTTCAACCGTAAGTCTTTCTCTATAGACTAAATTTTCTTTTCCACGGTCGGTCGCTTAAAGCCGCTTGTATTTTTTTTTTTTTGTTGAAGATAATGACGTTGTCTCATCGTAGTGTGACCAGAGCATTAAATATCCTCGTAGAATCAGTATGCAAGTGACCAGCCTAAGCTACAGTGCGTGCTATAACGGTTCATTACCAAACACAACGTCGCGACGCGACGCGCCTATGCGACAAAGACTGCATTCATAAAAAAGTGAAGAAA